CCAGAGAAGGGGGAAGAAAGTGGAAGTGGGCTACTTCTCAAAACCTCTTTGGGTCACTTGGATTTAGCTTTTTCTGAAATAAAATACATCCTAGGACTTTTAAGTTACATGAGCCAATCAACTCCTTTTCATTGCTTAAGATGCTTAAGATTAGTTTTTATTACTTGTAATCCAAAAATGGGTTTTGAGCACCTGATATATCTGAGGACATATGCTTGGGGTTCTTTGGTATTCAAAGATGAGCCAGACATGATCCTTGCACTCATGGAATCCTTCACTTAGCAGATAACATAAGATCAGAGAACAGATACTACCAAAAAGGATGTTCTTATCACCAACCTCATCTAGACATGAAGGACCACATTGAAGTGAGTGGGGAATGTCTATTGGTGAGAATTTGATGCATTGGAGTAATGAAGAATATTATTTTGACTTCAGAAAAGTATTGAGCAAGGGCTCAACTGTGGAAAGTGCAAGAAGCTCAAAGTATATCTTGAAGCCTCGTAGTAAGTCATCAGTGGTGATTGAAGGATAGCAGTTGGGTTAATAGGGAGATAGTTCAGATCAAATAAAACAAGGGGAAAAATGTATTCCAAAAAATTGTAGAAATTCTGATTAGAAGTCTGTGGAATTTGATTGGAAGGAGAAAAATAGTTTGAGGAGGGTAAGATGAGAGGAAAATTAGATTTTAGTGTTCAGTAGAATTGCATGGAAAGGTATTGGATATGTGGAGCTTATGAAAAGGCTAGTACAAATGTCCAGTTGAACCTCAGTGCAGAGCTGGGAAGGGCCAGATGGAAAAAGAAAGCTGGAGGTGGATGGAATACCAGCCTCTGGGAACATTCTTGCAGAGAGGTTCTGGCCATATTTGATCAAGAATCTTCCTTGTGGCATCATTTGAAAGCCATAGTTTTTATTTCATGCTAAACATTGTCAGAGGGAGCAGGGGCAGATTCATCCTGAAAGTGAGCCAACCTGCCTGGTATGCAAACTTGTAATGGCATTCCAGACCTCAGGACCTGGCAGACTCCCTTAGATCCTTACTCCTGTCTTCCCTGGTGTTACAATGTCAGGAGGGAGAGCCTCCTCTTTCTTGGTGTTTTTGTCCAGCAGAAAAGGACCAGGTCACAACTCCAGCCACCCATGCCCCAACCACACTGTTTCATGAAAGATATTCAGCTTGGCCTGCTGCTGAGAGATGTTATTTTTTTGGCTGTGCACTTGGTGCCATTCTGATCACACTTCACTCTTGCTCTCTCTCCTCCTCTCACCCAGTCCTGGAAAAAGGTGCCATCAGCACTTCCATGGCTAACTCTGGTCCAAGCCACCATCTTTATACACACCCATAAATACATGCACACATACACACAGGGGAAGGGAGGAAGAGAGAGAGAGAGAGAGAGAGAGAGAGGAGATTCTGTCTTGCTGATGTATCTCCCTGCCTCAAATTTTGTGTCTCTTTGGTGTGCACTGAAACAGAACAGATGGAACTAACCTGCACAGTCACAAGCTGGATTCTGCAAACCCTCATCTGAGAACCTCATGATTTTCTGCCTGACTCAAAATAAAATTTTAATTCTCTACCATGCTCCAAGGACTCTACCTGATTTGTTCCTTTATTTCCTCTTCAGCTTTCTCTGCTACCACTTTTCTCCATCCCTTTGAGTCACTGCTCTTGAGACTCAACCTGCTTCTATTTGCTGATCTTTCTCTTCTGGAGTCTGAAGTCTACTCTCTATTTTCAAATGTCCCCCTTCTATCTGACTCAGTCTCTCCTGCCTGATAGTCTTTCAGACCACCAGAAATGACTCATGTCACCATTTCTCAAGAATGATGAGTAAATATCAACGGTTTGCCAGTAGGCTTATTTTGCTTAGGTTGGAAATAAACTCAAATAGCTTGAAAAGGGTCGCAAGAGAAGGTTTGTTGCTTGGACCACATTATGACTTTGGTGGGTCCTAGGCACCATAGTCGCCCTTTCTTCATGAAAAGGTATTAAATATAATATGGCTGTACCAGTGTATAAGATAACACCACCTGATCTGAATCTGTTACTATACAGTCATTATTGCTGTAAAAATTTTGGTTCTAATTTTTAAAAAATATTTTTAGACCTCTGAAAAACTCCATGGCTCCTATTGGCTGTGCCTAGCATCTACATTATCCCAGAGTCCACTCCTCCTTCCCACTGCTCCTTGAACTCACAGTGCCCTTCCGCCCTTTTGGGTCACACTGTTCCTTTATCTGGAATGTCTGTCCCTCATCCTGCCCTATTCATCTGACAAATTCCTGCTCAGACTTAAGACCCAGCTCGAATGTCACTTTCTCTTGCCAGATTTTAGCGAACTGAAACGAAGGGTGCCCAGCTGTATCTCAGACAAACAAGTAATCATTTTAGCATAAGTAGGTTCCAAATATCACACATCCCAAATCTTGTGCAAGACATATTTCTACTAAGAAAAATATGCACGTTTGTCTGAAATTTGAATTGCCAGGCAACCCTGCTCTGTAGCTATCCTTGGCTCATTTTCTTTTCAGGTTTTCTCCCCACCTGTTGCCTGCCCAGGCGTTCCAGCACTTTCTATGCACCTGTCACCATATGTCCTGCACTCCAGTCTGCCTTCTCCTTCTCATTACCTTCATCTGCCAGAGGTGCCAGGCCGTGACCATGCATTAGTTGTCACATCTGAGTGAGTGGATGCTTTCCTTTTATTTCTTCAGCTATCTATTTTCAGGGATGACTTGGCAGCTCTTGCTTTTAATTTCATTCAGGATGTTGTGTGATGAGACAAAAGTGGAGATAACTAATGCGTGGGATTACAGTAACACTTCTGTTAACAAAGACAGTTCCAAGGAGACACTTGGGACTCAGACATCTCATTACCTGAAAAAAGAAAGCTGAGGCACATGACTGACACACCTGTGTCCCCTCCCTACCACTATGCTCTGAGAAGCAAAGGCAGTCAGTGGAAATCTTGGACTTGCCCCTCTATAATTACTGAGTTGGACCATAAACCAGTTGTAACTCCTGCAGGGCAGTGTGTGTGTGTGTGTGTGTGTGTGTGTGTGTGTGTGTGTGGAGAGAGAGAGAGAGAGAGAGAGAGAGAGAGAGAGAGAGAGAGAGAGAGAGAGGTCTTCTGTTTTTGAGAGTTAGGTTCATTAATTTCTGGTTTTCTGCTTTTACTTTGGGGGTGTATTGATTCTTCTAAAGTTTTTTCATTTGTTTTTATTTGGGGGTCACACCAGTGGTGGTCAGAAGACCTTCGTGAAGTGCCAGAGATAAACCCATGGCTCCTGCATGCAAAGCACAAACTCTAGTCTTTGAACCGTCTTTTCATCTCTATAACATTCTTAATTCTCATCACTGGTCACATAGAGCCAGTGTCAGCTGGGCCAAACCAGGTGAGACTGTTGGAAGTCAAGTTCAAATTCGTTTCCACCACCATTTTCAGCAGCAAAGAGCTGAGGGCAGCTCAGGTCCTTCTGAGCACTGCAGTGAGGGCAGTTTGACTCTCCCTGATGAGCCAGAGAGTTTATACTAGGTAGGATTTATAAAGAGCCTGGAGTAAGTGCCCGTTCCTACTGCTAAGAATTCCCCAGCTTTCAACACTTTCTCCCTTCATCCATTGAATGAAATTTTCCAAGCTGACCACTGGGAAAAAAAATCTTGCTTATGCTGAGCAAGAAACCACAATATCCAAATGACCAGTGTTGTATATGTGTATATGTGTGTGTGTGTGTCTGTCTGTCTGTCTGTGTGCATATATATTCTTTTTATGGGGTTACCCAATAGTTTACACCTCTTTACAGAACTCCTGCCCATCGCTGTGTCCCTATCCCCAGCTTACTGGTGCAGACAAATGGCCCAAGGTAACTTCATGGGCTCAACAGATGTTATGAGAACTAAAAGCAACCCCTGGTCCCCTCTACCCAGAGACTTTCACACCCTACAGCCCTCTGGGGCTGGCACAACATTTGTGAATCTAATTTAGGTGCCAAGATGTTCTGTATTTTTATGCGTTTTGTTTGGGTGCCATACCCAAACCAGTGACTCCATTGTGTCTCTGTGTGGACAGGGAGCATTGAGAAGTAGGGCATGTCAGATGCTGCATGGAAGCTGTCTGTTGGACACCCCACATTGGCAGTCACTCAGACAAGCCTTCAGAACACCCCAGTCTTGCTTGGGATTTAAAATGCATCACCCGCTCCTTTGTCTTAGCAGTCAGACCCACTGTGGCAGCTTTGTGTATGCCATCCAAGGACGAAGCATGTGTCCTCCCCCAACCAAGGGCAGTCACGATCTCGCTTCACAGTGTTGTTCTTGCCACAGGAACACACTAAGTTCAAGGCCACCATTTGCACAATTCCAGGGATTCTGCTACATTGCCACGGTGAACTGATATGCGCAACTGAGTTGTGCAAAGTGTTGGCTCCGTCCAAACGTCGGCCTACCTCGGAATGTGGCCAGGATGCTCCTTATTTGTTGGCACTATCCCATAAATCCTGCCCCAATGTCACCTCTAATTAAAACAGCCCTCCAGCTATTTCCATCAAGATATCCTGTTCATAGTCTTTATAAATGACGCATGTATCATCATTTGGATCGCTATACAGATTTACTTTGGGGGAGGGGATTTTTGTCTGGCCCCTTCAAAAAATAAAATATCAACTCCAATATCAAATTTCAAGAACTTAGCACAGGTACTTTTTTGTTTTGGATCCTTGGTGCCTCACACCAATCTGAAGTCACATATGTTTGCCATAAGCATCAATTGAATGAATATAATTCAATTCAACTCTCAGAATACCATAGCGAGTTTTTCTTTTCTTAAGGTAGGTAACTAGCTGCAGAGAGTTGATGAGCTAGGCTATTCACCAGCCTGAGTGATGGCAGAAGCTGGTTGGCTTTCCTGCCCTGGGTATGGTTGATAAAGTATGACAATGACAGCTTGGCCCAGTCATGGTCACAAGGCTTGTGAGAACATATAGAAACACAGAGAGCAATAGAAATGAGTTTTTATTTGTAAAAAGTTACAAAATGATATTGTACAAAAATAAAGTCTGTAGAGAACTTTGGTTGTATAACACAAACGACCAAGACAGATCAGAGAAGTCAGAACTTCCAAAGAAGTGCACTCCTTACTGGGTCGGATGGTAACCGCCATGTTAAAGAAAAATCACAAACTTTACCCTTTCAAGGATTGAGTGGAGTGATGTGCATCCTTGAAAACCTGCTGACGGTGTGCAGGTGGTACTGGGAAATAGCTGTTAACACCCATGGAATCCCACTCTCCCTATGGGAGCTGGGGGTCTAACTGAAGTCGACAAGGCAGACACAAACTACCAAATATGACAGGATTCTAAATCGGGTCATCCTGGAGTTGCATCCAAATTGTACCTCAGGAATGACCAGGCAGCCGGGTCACCATTGGGAGTAGCTGCTCCTCAGGAGATGGGAGAGAAAGGCCCTTTCCCTTTATTTTCAAGCTGTGTGAGAGAAGCAAAGAAGACAGAGAAGGGCAGAAGGAGGGTAAACTTGGATCTTTAAGGACGAGAGGAAGGGACAGCTGGTAATTGCTGCCTCTTGTTTACATTGCAAAAATAACATGATAAGGAAGACCAGTAGTATGTGGTCTAATTGCTCAATCTCAGCCACTAAGGTAGGGATTGATGATTTGCTTGATTAAACTCCCTTTTGTGAATTGGGTAACAAACTCTAGGACAGGCCCCACACATTGCAAATATGTTGACTGCCAGACAGATCCAGAAATGGAACCAGTGTGAGGTGGAGTTTCCCTTCTGTGCTTCCGCCCCTTAAGCATGCTCAGGACTAAGGGAGCACCTTCCGTGGGTGACTGACCACATGCTTTCCAACTGTCCTCTGAGCCACCTTCTTCCAAGGGGAAGGGTTGCATATAGAGGGGTCAGCAACTATTGCCCTTACGCAACAGCTAAGGGGCATTGAGGGCAGCCAGGTGTACCCCACTTCTGGAAGACAGCAGAGCAAGCCATGAGCAGGCTTCTCACCAAGGTGGTGGTGGCAAGACCCTTAAAAAAGTCAGGGCAGAGCCTGGCTACCCAACAGCACCTTGACTATTATGTCAACAGTTGTGTCCAGGACTTTAGCTAATGGAAATTTACCCTTTGATCTATACAGTTATGCATATCATAAATATATGGAGGGGAGTGTGGTCTCAAATATAAAAGAAAGCAAGCAGATGGTGATGGAACAAATGAATAAAGTCAAATGCCAATGGTCTCTGCATACAGCTCCTGAGAAGGGGGCCTGCCAGAAACCCTCCTCGGGCACATTTCTTTTGAGGGGGGTGCGAAATAACAACCTGAAAATAGGGAAGATGTTGAAATTTGGGAAGTTAACTAGGGCTTCTCTGGAAAAAAAAGGTAAAGTAAGTGATTTTTGCCTCATGAAAAACTTTTTAATACTTTGAAAAGTATGGACCCTTGTTCCCAATTGAAATTTCCTTTGTCATCTTTTTTTTGCATTTTGTGAACATAGACTTTGGCACCTTTGAAAAGAACTTCAATAAATAAGGGGGGGAAGAAAGAGAAACTCATTAGTGAATGGTAATAAATAACAATAACTTAAATCTCAATAAATATCTTCTCTATATTTCTGTATCTGAAACAGATGCATTGCATCGAGTAGCTTCTCTGGTCACTGGTGACCACGCATAGACGGAGCTGGGATGTGTGGACCATCTGTCTCTGTAACCCCACAGGCGGGCAGGGCCTTCTCCCACTTGCTCTCTTGCAAGGTTGTTGCCGAAACCACACCTGCATTCCTGTTTCCAGGGACAGCAAGGCTATACGTTCAGGATTGTTTTTAGTCAGGAGAACAGCCTTTCTGGTGCCTAGCCAACTTTTTGGTGCCTCCCCCACACACCATGTTCTAAATCAATCCCCAAACATTCACCAAAATGCTGATGGTGGTAAACCTCAGGTCTCCACTTTCCCATTCAAAGGTTACTATCTCTTGTGCCTTTGCTTAGCTCTTGGTTTGGTTTTTTCCCCCTCCTTTCCGGGGTATGTCTCCACTGAGTGACATTTTTTTAAAAAAAGGAAGAAAGATAAAGAAACCTTTGTTGCTTTCAGCAGTAAAAACATAATGACAAGGAAGAACACCAGGATGACTGATACCCTGGTGTTTCCAGACATGTGAAAACAAACCACAAGAGATACACTGGTTTGGTTTGAAGTTCATCCGCAACTGTGCCCGGGACTGGGCTGGTGGACCGCATCAGCTGAAACCATGGCAACACTCACGCAGGGACCCCAGCCCCGAGCTGCTGGTGACATCGGCTGCTGTCTGAGGAATACCTGCGGCTGTTTTCTCTCCTGTCCAGTTTTCTTTAGCTGGACCCCCCTCTACCAGGCTCCCATAATGGCTGCCTTCCTCCTCCTCTTCCTCCTCCTCCTCCTCCTCCTCCTCCTCCTCTTGTTTCTCCTCCTCCTCTGTCACCTTGGTCCTCATCTTCCGTTCTGGGCAAACATTTCCTGGGAACCTTGGTCCCTTTCTTTGCACTGTAGCCGGAATGCAATACACAGCGGTCTCTGGAGCCGGAGTCAGATACATCCACACCTTTTAGCGGAATGCTTTCTTAGAATATGGTAAACCAGGCTCTCATCTAAGAATGACAGGTCATCATCAAAGGCAGTAGGTCTGCAGCATGCCTGACCGACTTTGTCATTCGCCAGCCTTTTATTTTTGGATAAGTTTTTTAATATTTTGTCGTACATTGTCTCAGCTGCGTCACAGGAGCCACTGCAGTACCTGAAAATCAGTTCTTCCCTGGTTTCATAGCCCAAACCCAAGTCGGTGACATTTAAGTGTATGGCAGTTAAGACACAGCCTCGGTTTCTGCCCCTCTGGCCTCGCCGCCCTTTCCCTCGGGCATTCTCCGGGCCTGTGGGCTGCCGATTCCGCTCTCTTCGGGGAAGCACAGCCATTTGTTTATCTGGTGACCTTTTCAGTCTTTTAATGGTGGCTTGAATAAAATCCATGACATCATCAAACTGATCGGGATAATCCTCTGGCATATTGGCTGTGTAACAAAAAAACAGAAAGGGTCACAGGAGTCAATAACAATGATCATTTCATGTCAAGGTCAAAGGCAACCCAGCTGGGACCCTTGGGGACAGGAGCAAGCACAGTCAAGCTAGAGACTTCTGTCGTGGCCCCAGCACAGAAGCTGAGACTCATTTCTGGGGCTTCTTCACTCAGGAAAAATGCTCCCAGTGAAAGAACACTCACAAAGCGAGTGGCCCACCACTTCCTTACATAAAACCAAGCCTAAGAGGTATAACCTTTGGTTATTGGTTTTTGGGTCACACCCAGCAGTGCTCACGGCTTACTCATGGTCCTACACTCAGTGATCACTCTCATATAGAATACCAGGGATCAAACCCAGATAGGCCACATGCAAGGCAAGCGACCTACTTGCCTCACTATTTCTCCAGCCCTGTTGGGTGCAGTTTTTGTGGAAATCACTTTGCCACTTCACAATTTTGATTTTTTTTTTTTGAGGGAGGGAAGGGGTTTTGGGCCAAACCTGGATGTGCTCAGGCCTTTTTTCTAGCTCCACTGGTGGTGTTCAGGGAACTAGGAGCAATGCTGGGTATTGAACCAGGCTCAGCTGTGTGCAGGGGAGGCACTGTCATCTCTGTACTATCTACTTGGTCCCCACATGACCACTTTCAATAAGTCTATACAGAGGCTGTGGTGAACTGGCTGATCCTTGAGGGCATTTTAAAATCTAACTTAGAGTAGGTTCTGCGGGGTAAGTCTGAAAGAAAATATTCTGGAATGTTCACTGAAGGCACATCATTGAGCTTACCTGCAGGGAGACTGAAACATTTGCTCTGGGGAGGAGCCAAGAAAACTACATTTTTAATAAGCCATGGAGGAATTCTGAGCTGGGTGATTCACAAAACATATTTGAAAAAAAATATTTTAGGAGATGGAAAAGAATGATTTGGTGGTGGTGCTCTAGCAACATGGTCTAGCCAAAAGCATAAGCATGAACACTGTTATAAATCACATTACTTCAATAATGGAGTTAAATGTTTTAAAGATGAAAAAAAAAAAGAACAAGTTTGGATCAGGATATTTTCCACATTGCTACCAGTGCCCTAAAATCAACCCTACTCAATACCTCTGCAAAGCTGAGTGGGACAGAACCATTTTGATGGGAAAAAACAAGTTTATGAACTCAACTGCATTTTAGAATTTCCTTAAAAAACATAAAGAAATACTATATAGCTGCAGGAAATGATGTAATTCACAGCAACTTGGATAGAATTGGAAGATATGTTAAGTGAAGTAAGCCAGAAGAGGGGCAAACACGGGGTGATCCAACTTATCAGTGGTATGAAGAATAACTGGACGAGGGAATGCAAGGTGTTAAAGAGGGAATGTCTAGATCACTGTTGACCCCTGAATATAGAGAGGAGATAGGACAGAGAAGGAAAGAAATTGAGGAAGAAAGTAAGAAGATGCAGACTGGAAGAAATAGGGGGGCAGGCATCAATTGGATACATTGTGATAGTGAGGAGCGTATAACTCTATATTCAAACCACAGATTCAACAACACTGAAAACACGGGGTTCAAATTACAACCAAATTTAAAAAATGTGCCTGTCAAGGTGGAAGGCGTAGTGGGTGGGAGGGAACCTGGAAACACTGGTGAAGGGAAGTTGACCCTGGTGGTGGGATTAGTGCTAGAATATTGCATGTCTAAAAGCCAACACAATAAATTTATAAATCATGGTGGTTTAGTAAATTAATTAGAGGCTAAAAATAAGCCTATTTTTCACCCAGAGAATAATTTTCTACTTCCTTGGAACAACAGAACTTTAAAAAAGTACTATAGTAAGATGGCATTTGGATGTCATAGCAATAAATGGAATGAGCTGCAGGTAATAGAGCGATGTAGGTCCAGCATCTGTCACTGACCATCACAAGACTTCCCACAGCCTTTGGCTGCAAATAGGACAAAGACAAGAGATGTACAATTAGGCAGGTCATAAAGTTTGATATGTACAGCAAAAGCTGTATCAGAATAGAATCTCTTGGGCTTAGAGCCATATTTCAGCATTGGCTTTGATTGATCAAGTAAGAGCTAAGCTTCTCTCTGAGCAACCTGAAATATTTCTCAAGGAGGGAAGCACTTCAAACTCCTCTGCACTGGAGCCCATCCTTTTAGACTTTCCTTACTTATGTTCAGGTAATTTAATGTGATTCAAATTTACATGTTACTTCAGACCATGTGCACCCCCCCTCAAAAAAGTCCCAAATAAACAAACCAACTAAACAACAACTAGCAAGACAGAAGTTTTTCTGCTCAAACCATGTTAAAGCATAGGATTACACCGTGCCCCAACCACACTGGGGTGTTTTGTTGAGAACTGACAGTTAAATTATGTATCAGTTCTAGCATGCCAAACAAAGTCCAGCTGAGAGGACAACTGCTTGTATATACTAGAAAATTATAACGAAGAGTGCGAAGCATGTGGGATCAAGAACACACTGCTCATTGGGTACCTAAATTTGGCATTTAGGGTTCTTTTGCACAGAGACAGCTTCTACCTCATTCCAGCCTGTCCAACCCCAGCAGCACCTGGTACCTCGCATTCCAGCCACACTCTCCTTCAATCTGTCTGGCATCTAGTAGGCAGATGGATACCCACTTCCCTCCTCTGCTACAGACCATCCTGTGGCTTCCATTTCCCTCAGAGTAAAAGGCAACTGTACTGTCTCTGTAGGCATAATAATAATACTTAAAATGTATCAATCAAGGAGACAAGCTGGGGGCTAGGAAGAGAGCCTGGGGTCACTGGTGGTGGGACTAGAGCTGGATGGAACACTGTATGCCCAGAACTCTACTGTCAACAACTTTGTAAATCAGTGTCTAAATAAAAATTAAATTAAAACAAAACAAAACCAGAATTTAAAATAACAACCCCTTTAAATCACTTTGATTTAAAGAAATGGGCTTATTTTGAAAAATGAACGACATGCGCTATTTGTGACTTTTTTCAACATGAAAGAGGAAATTAGGTATGCCCAATTTCCACTAACCCTATTTATCTAGAAATCTGAACTTCTCAAGCAGACATAGTAAGGGTGATTCATCAAAATTCAAAAAAAGTCTTCAAATTCTAAAAAAAGACTCTTTGTTTTACAAATAACTCACAGGATAGGATGAGGGTTCTATTCAAGAATTCCTGAATAGATCATTAACTTATGAACCTGGGAACAGAGAAAGTAAAAAATCGATTAAGAATTAACTGAAGATTAATCAGAAAGAAGGATGAAACATTACTCCAATTTTAACCTGAACAGATGGGAGAACATTCAGGTTACAAAAGTTCAACTGATTAACGATTCTAGAGGCTCGTTGATTTATACATAATACATTACCTCATTTTACATGGCTAGAGTCATAATACAGATTTGAGTCAGCATTTATCTTGTGCTTATTTATTGCCCTATACTTTCAAAGTTCCCTATAAATATCTTTCCTCCTTTTAAAGACTTTATTTTAGTAAAGGGATCAGACTCAGGGACTCACACACATGAGACAAGAGCTCTACTATGACAGAACTACATCCCCAGGCCTTTTAAGATATTTTGATTACACTGCTTTGTCCAGTGGTTTGTTGGGTAAATAGAGAACACCAAGTTAAATGTGAATTTCAGGTAAAAAATATTACATCTGAGGGCCGGAGTGACAGCACAGCGGGTAGGGCGTTTGCCTTGCAGCCGACCTGGGTTCAATCCCCGGCATCCCATATGGTTCCCCAAGCATCGCCAGGAGTAATTCCTGAGTGCAGAGCCAGGAATAACCCCTGAGCATCGCTGGGTGTGACCCAAAAAGCAAAAAAAAAAAAATGTACATTTTTTTAGTATAACATGTAGCAGCCCTAAATACTGTGTGGGGCATACTAATGCTTATGGTAAGAGAGTTTAATCCCTTCTCCTTTTTTTCAATTCACTTAGGCTTCTAAGGGTAAAGCATCGAGCAGCAAGAATGCACCAAACACTTATTTTACGCTGGGGAGAAGAGCTCATTAATTTTGAGTGACAGGGCTTCCTGGTGCCCCAGAAGCAGTCGATAAATGTTTGATGTGCTAAACAGAAGAGTGTAGTTAACAAGAGCTTCTTTAGATGGGAAAATCTTCACGCTTTGCTGTTAATGTGCAAATATTTATGTAAGTCTAAAGTTTGCGAGATAGGTGCTTCTTACTGAGCTGAAAGAACACCCTTTCCCCACATTCTTCTCCTTATTGAGAAAAAAAGTAAATAATAAATATTTATGCTGAAAGTTTTATTGAATATGAGTTTGGAAACCAGAAAAAGGGAATATGATATATTCCAAACCACAGAGCAAATAGGCCCATCATTTGCAACTAAGACCAGGCCATTGGAGTTCATTCATAGAAATGCCTCAACTTAGCATCCCTAGGCATCTGGGGAGAGAGCATAAGAAGCCACAAGCCTTATTGGGTCCATCCTTAAAAATTCTAAAGGGGTCTGGAACCCTGCCCGGCCAAGTAAACTCCTGGGGAAGTAAGGAACCACAGTTCCTTCAGTCTTCCAGGAATCTGCCAAGCTAAGGGCAAAGAGGGGGGTTTGGGTTTGGGTTACTTCCCTAAACTAGGACTAAATAACTATCACTTTCTTCATCTCCTAGTGGACTGGGAGCAATATCAGTCATGAAAATGACCCTCATTAGTCTTCAGTTTGTAAGTAAAATGTTTCCATGCCACAAACAGCAGCAGTATTAAAAAAAAAAAAGAATTTATCTAACACTTGCTCATTTTCCCAGATGTACTTACAGGAGAGAGAGAGAGATTAGAAAACACGTCGGTCTAAAAGCGTGAGTTTTTGTAAGACCAAAATGCTTAAAGTTCTGTAAGTCATCGTCCAGTGTGCAACCAAATATTTTGGCATTATTCTATTTTAAATGTTTTAACTTTTATGTGTCTCTTGTATAAACAGTGTTCTTTAAACAAACAAGGCCTTGGACAGGGGCATGACTCT